GGCCCCCCCCCCCCTCATAACATCTGCAGGTAGCAGCAGTGTTATGTTCTCACTGTATGCTTTACTGTAGAATGCTGATCCTGCCTGATGGGGATTTTTTTTTTTTTTTTTTTGGCCAGGGAACAGCTGCCAACCAGAACCAGGTTGTTGTTTTTTTCTTGCCCCCCAGAATCTGCCACCCTCTGCAAATGCACATGCTGCATCCCCAGTCACACTGGCCCTGATAAGAGTGACAGTTAGTTCTGTTTTTAAGTTAATATAATTTTTACGTAGCTGTTTTTTACAGCGAGTTTAGTCATTTTACATGTTGGACGAATTATTTAAGATGTTTTAACATATAATGAATCTACTTCATCAGACAAGACTGTTAAAAACAAATACTTAAAAAGAGTTTTTATATAAATCTTAATGTTTTACAAGTTTATATTTTAAACCTCAGAACACATAATATATCCAATGGAGAAAAAGCAGGTACATATTTTTCAAATGTTATTTTACAGATGTCGTTAAAACTTGCGATGTAGGAAATTCTCCTCTTGTACCTGATTTGTCAGATATATTACTTGATAATATTCATGCCGTGTACTGGTTTACTTAATGCTTTTAATAAAAATGTGAAAGTGGTTTAGCAAAAAAGGGTATTTAACCTATTAAAAAGATATTTTGAAAATAAAAAAAAAGTATTAATGTTCATTTTGTGCAGTAAAAGTGCATTTACAATATTTTTTGTTATTAATCTATCTCTAATAACTTTAATTAATATCATGTATCGATTGAATACAGCTTGGGAAACTGGTTTTATATGAACTTTTCTAGCTCCTGAGGTCCTTGGGCCAGAGAAGTATGACAAGTCCTGTGATATGTGGTCTCTAGGTGTCATTATGTACATACTGTAAGTGAAGGTTTTAATTTTCTCTGTTAACTAATGTTCTTTGTTATTTAAGTACTGCTAGTTTAGGTTTTGTTTTTGCTGATAACTAATAGCTGGTACATTATTATGTAATTACTGCTAGTTTAGGTTTTGTTTTTGCTAATAACTAATGGCTGGTACATTATTATGTAATTACTGCTAGCTTAGGTTTTGTTTTTGCTGATAACTAATAGCTGCTACATTATTATGTAATTACTGCTAGTTTAGGTTTTGTTTTTGCTGATAACTAATAGTTGCTACATTATTATGTAATTACTGCTAGTTTAGGTTTTGTTTTTGCTGATAACTAATGGCTGCTACATTATTATGTAATTACTGCTAGTTTAGGTTTTGTTTTTGCTGATAACTAATGGCTGCTACATTATTATGTAATTACTGCTAGTTTAGGTTTTCTATAGTAGATAACATTCATCATATTAAGTAGGTTTATACTATCAGTGTAGATTTTATGTATCTTCAGGAAATATAATTTGTAATGCAGTTATGAAATGCAGCATATATAAATTTTCAGAAATAGCTTACAACTATTTTTAAAATTTATTTATAAGAAATTTTTGCTCGTCTTTAACGTGCTGTTTAATTAGTTCGTTAAAAAAAAATTTAACCTAGTCCACACCTTTTGTGTTTTAAACCTTCTAAGCAGGATAGTAGAATGTCAAGTCTTTAGGGCACAGACTTCAAACCTTCCACAAATATGGAGGACCTGAGGGTGTGTGTAAATCATAACTTGTTTTAATCAAGGCACTGTGGATGTACAGTCGTGTACTTGTGACTCTCACTTTTTCTGCAGGGTGAATAAAAACATTACACCCCTGTCAATGAATGTAATGCTGAAATCAGTGTGCATAACTTTGTTTTTAAGTAAATTGATGTAGCAATAAGACAAAAAAGGTTTTAAACTTCAACAAGATGATAATATTCTGTAACTTAAAATTGACTCTACACATTTCTTGATTGCCATACTAGCAGTTTACTGAAATTTAAGTTGGAAGATGGCTGACATGAGAGAGTTTCTGTTAACTGTATAGTAAAATATTTTGGTCCTACAGAACGTCTTCAGGTCTGAACCAAATCTTTCAGTGCAAATTGCATGTAACTGTTCTGCCACCCAGTTTCCAAGCATCTAGTTCACATCTATTTCTAATACCTACAAAGTTCTACACTTTCTTGTTTTAAATGTAGTTTACAGCTTCCATTGTTCACATTTCCAGGCTTTGTGGCTTCCCACCGTTTTATAGTAACCATGGATTGGCCATATCTCCTGGGATGAAAAAGAGGATTCGTGCAGGACAGTATGACTTTCCCAACCCTGAATGGAAGTGTGTTACTCAAGATGGTAGGTTAAAATACAGTTAGTTGTGAGACGTTTTTTTATGTCTTATGAAATATTTCTTGTATCTGATTTCTTAATCGTTTGTTTTCTCTTTCTGTATGTGTGTGTGTTGGTTTCAGAAATCAGTTTAACAAATGTAGAAACTGATTAAGTGTACTGCTGATGGAAAATATAGAATGCAACAAGTATTTGAATTAATAATCTTTAAAAAGTTAATGTGAGTAGAAGCACTTATTGGATTAATTTATCATTCCTATGTTTTAACTACACCATACGTGCTGGAAATGCATCTCTCTCTATCCAGAAAAGTGTAGTTTATAAACAAGATACTCTTCAAGAAACTACATGTTTACTATAATCTTTTGTTTAGCTCTTCTGTTAGGATGTGCCATGGAATGATAGTTTTATTAAAATATAAATATACTTAATGTTAGTATTGTGATAGAATTAAGAACTCTTCTAAACAGCAGTGGGCAAAAAGAAATAATGTCAATAGCTGTTCATCGTACTTGTGCCTTATCAGACTTGTTGAACATGGCACTTTTCACTGTTGATGTCAGAAAAACATGTAGGTTCAATAAGTCTTGATACAAAATGATAAAAAAAAAACCCATAACCTGAGCGCTTTCGAAAAGTGAACCTTTGTACAGCATTCGTGTATTGGAACTTTTCACTGTGTAAAACTCCCATTTTATAATTTTACCATAGCCAGTACACACACACACACACACACACACACACACACACACACACACACACACACACACTTATTTTTATTGTAATATAGTACATTAAAACTGGTAAATGTATATATCTAGTACAAACACATACGTTTTACAGTTTTATTAAACTCTGTGCACTTGTAGCAAGCACAAAATAAAACTACCATCTTATATTCTGTAAATACTGATGGAAAAATCTTGATCTTCATAATGTCATGAAATTCACAGTAAGATTTTGTTTTTCTTAAAAATAATGTACCTAATTAAAAATATTTAGGTTATTTTTAGTGTCTTCATACTGGCGTATTAACTATCATTGCTTATAATTGTTGGTTCTACTTTATTTTTTCAATAAATGATACAGTTAATGCACATCCTACTTAAATAGTAGTTTTTTTATATTTTAACATTTAGTGTATGATGGCTTGTTTAACTTACTATGAATAGTGTGTTTCATTAATTCCCTGTGGTATAAACTGTATAATTTTTTTGTTGATTTAGCCAAAGACCTTATTCGTGGTCTGTTGAGAACTGATCCTACTGAAAGATTGACTATTGAGGAAGTCTGTAGAAATAAGTGGATTGCTGTGAGTGGCACATGTTTTATGAATTTTAATCTCTTTAAAGTTAAAGTATTGATAAGATTTGTTGGAAATATTTGTAGAAAATGTAATAATTCCATTACATTAGACCATAGAATACTTTTAATTTGAATTTATTGACAAACAGAGCTGAAAAGTAAATAAAATACATCTTAATTGATGTGATTTGCTTGTTTGAAGTATACTGTGTAAGTGGTTAGATTGTTTAAAGATATATGTGCATCGGTTTGAATTCAAGGGCTTTACTGTTCAAAATATTTTATTCTGATTCTCAAAAACAGTTTTCTATAAGAGTTTAAATAGCTTAAATTTTTCAAAATACTTCAAGCTCTTGAATGTGCAAGACTAATTAAGGAGTTTTGTCATATAGAGCATTTACCTGTGTTGTACAACAGTTTTTTTTTATTCAGTGATGAACATTTGGGGATCATATTTTTTATTTTATGGTGTTGTTTATGCTGGAAAATACAGAAATAGGGTAGACAGGATAAATAAGAAAAAAGTTTTCAATAAATAGCCATCGTTTTTATTAGTTAGGATACAAAATAAGATTAACATATATAAGAAAGAAAATTACTAGTCTAAATCACCAATATCTTATTTTTTTTAAAGTGGCAGGAATCAGAAAAAACATTTTGGTAGGTGAATCTGTCAACATCAATTTCTCAAGAATCAGTAATATATAAAATTGTAGAATCTAATTTTATTAGCAGATATAGTGTGGTAGATGTGTTAATATAAACTTAGCAGATATAGTGTGGTAGATGTGTTAATATAAACTTGGCAGATATCGTGTGGTAGATGTGTTAATATAAACTTGGCAGATATTGTGTGGTAGATGTGTTAATATACACTTGGCAGATATCGTGTGGTAGATGTGTTATTATACACTTGGCAGATATACTGTGGTAGATGTGTTATTGTACACTTGGCACATATAGTGTGGTAAATGTGTTATTGTACACTTGGCAGATATCGTGTGGTAGATGTGTTATTGTACACTTGGCAGATATCGTGTGGTAGATGTGTTATTGTACACTTGGCACATATAGTGTGGTAGATGTGTTATTGTACACTTGGCACATATAGTGTGGTAGATGTGTTATTGTACACTTGGCACATATAGTGTGGT